CACCTGACGGCAGCAATCCGCCCCAATGACGCGCAACGTCCACTCATTGAAAGGTCATGACGTCACTCTAAGATCACTGACGCAAAGCACACCTTATTGTATTTGCAACAAAACGAAACCGATTGTGTAAAGCCAGCGTTACTTTACTGAAGTGAAGAAGAATGGAACCGACTGTTTGTTTATTCGACCATGAGCTGAGCCGATTTCAGGAGGGCAAGCAATATACGGTACAGTGCCGGAACCTGAAACACAAAAGCTACAAATGGTACAATTGAAGACTAAAAATTACATTTGCCCCGAACGAAATTTCCATGCTTTATACTGCAAGCTTATGTGCTTGACAAGCCGAGGACCACGAGCTAAGCTTCTTGGCATTTCAACTTATTCGACTTTATCCAAGGCTAATCGTAATCATTATCCTCGTCCACAGAAGGGCGATCGTCAGTTGAGCGTGTAAGTTCGGCGTAATATGTGACAAATTATCCGCAAAACACACCAGATGCCATCTCTAGTCGGGTCACGGTGACCCGACTAGGTAGACAACTGCAAAATAGCTATGTTTAATTGTCTCGTCTCAACTCTAAACATAACGTATAACGTGTGTCATAGGTACAACACCAATACACCACTGCCCACAAGTAGGTTTATATCTGCCCAATCTTGGATTAAACACTCAATCGCTTCGCTCATCTCGCAGTTGTTTACAGCACACAATAGCTAAATCCCTCAAGTGCTCACTTTCACTTGCTGTTGTCGAATATAGCGAACGGATTACAATGGCGGCGCATTCCAGGACGGGGATAGGTGCACACCAAACCGGTATCTGGTGAGCTTCGCCCCACCACATGCTGCCAGGATAAGACCCCACGCCCCTCCTGTGGTGTACATGAACAATGAACACTGCGGCTAGCAATGGGCATTATTCTGTCCTGGCAGCGCAGGGCGGACTTTGGAAAGGAATGCCACTGGGAGTGCCACCCCAGAGACTCAGCCAATGTCATGCCATTGAATGTCGGTATTCAAGGCTGGCCTTTGGCTGCATAGCCTTAACCTTTTTTGAATTGTGACCCGTGCTCGTTTCCGATTTGTTTTCTTCGTATTTCAAAACGATTTGGCAACGACTGCATATTAAAAAAAGTTTTGTTTTATGTAACTATCTTGCCCTCTAAAATACATCCTATGTCAACAGATTAGACTTTGTCATCATTCTGTAAATCGTTTGAATGCATTTTCGTATCTTTTCCTTTTTCTGTATCGCTTTGACAACCGTTGCCAAAGCTGTTTGTATAAGCGTTATGTCATTTTGTCGTCTGCTGTGACATCTGACCGGCAAACAGTGCTGCGTTGGACGGGTCGGGACACTAGCCGGCTCGTTTCACGTCTGTTGACAAACTGCTGACCATTTGTTCTGCCGTCACAGCTGATGGAGGAATTCAAAGAGGCACACAGAAAAATGTTCGCCCACAAAGACAGCAACATTCCGGCAGCCACAAAACCGGTGAGTACTGAGTACACACGACTGGCTCCCAAAGGCGGCTGCCATTCATTTCTGGCGTCCGTCGGAGACGCAGGAACATTATTATTTTTGTTACCGATGCTACAGCGAGCCGGATGCGTGCTTAACGGACTGAAACCGCATCGTATTTCATTTCAGTGAGTAACCGTTTGAGGAAGGAACATCACGCATGGTTTCGTGTCTCGCAGTGCCTCCCTCACAAGGCGTCGGGCACCGTTCAGAGGCCGACACAGCGCGTACCGTGTCCGTCCGCCCCCACAAGGTCACGGGAAACAGCCACGCCTGAGACGGCAATGAAAACGAAACAAAACATCGTGACCCCTACCCGTCTGTAAACAGGGACGGGCCGAGGCTGGACGAGGGGGGGGGGGGGGCGATACGGGGGCAGGGGAGGGGAGCGACCTTGCGTGACCGACGCCCGCGCTCCGGTCGCCCGGTCGACATTAGATACATGCCGATGAAGCCGTGCTAGTGCCGGCCGGCGAGGACACGGGCAGTGACAGGCGCGCAGCCGACGCCGCGTCGGGCCCTGCCGTCCGCAGTGGACCCGGCCCCAGGCGGATATACCTCCCTCTTCGATGTACCCTCGGGCGATGAAACTCACGACTGAGCCGTTCGTGTCAGGTCGGACAGCGCCAATAGTGCCTGGCAAATAAAGGCGCCGTTTCTTTGTGTGGGTCACGTTGCCGGGCGAATTAGCTCGACGGGTATGGATCTTGGGTGTTTTCGGGTGCTCCGTTGCACAGTTGGATTTTGTTTTCGTAGCGTTCCGGCTGGTGTACAGTTTCAGGCACGCAAAGGCAAAGAACAAACGCCTGCATCTCGCTATAGGCACGCACACATCTATCGCGTGGTTGCCTATAGTTTCATAGAGGAACGAATGACATTAATGATTCACACATGAAATTAAATTAAAAACGGAAACGAGCCATGGAAGAGAAAACACCGGCAATCAATAACAATTATCCGCAGCGCTCACCGGAAAAGTAGCGTGCCTGACATACTTACCTATGAGCACCTGACTAACCCATCCGCTGACTAGAAACCATTAGCTTCCGCTACCATCTGGACGGCTGGAGCCGCTTAATGAGTTCCCGTGGGAAGCGCTCCGGGCCGCTGGGTTCTCTCGCGCTGCCGCCGCGACGGTGTCTCCTGCCGGTACCGTCTCCTCAAACTTCGTATCCTAAACACGCACGGGGAGAAGTTTTTGTAGCGGGGATACGGCGGGCTGGCACTGCACCGACCCGAGTCAGGGCCAAGAGCGATCGAGACGGGTCGGGACGGGGAGGGACGGGGAGGAGAGGCAAGGCGAGACGAGGCGAGGCGGTGAGACGTCACTCGACCGACCAGGCGAGCCAGACCGCGGCATAGCGAACAAGTAATCCCCTGTAAAGGTCATCAGGTCACGCCGTGACGCCGGGCACTCTCTCGGGTGTCCTCGTGCGTCCGGTCGGTCAGAGGAGTGCCGTCGTCCGGAGCGGCCACGAAAACGCCGTCTCTGTGTGGTGGTGGTGGGTTCTCACGTGTCCGACAGCCGAGCGAACCGTCAGCTGCACATCGACCATTGTTGACATCGGTGACCTTTGCCCCTGATACCTCGCAGGGTATCGCTGTGTGACGCATTAGTGTGACGTTCATCGCTCGGCGAACGGCACCAATCCTCGCACCACCTCCGCGGCAATCCTCGTGACGGCTTGTGACGCGACTGGTTTTCGGTAATCAACAGAAAGTGCTCCACTTGTGAGTGAGTGAGCGAGCGTGTGCCCAAAGCGTGACGCCGGGGGCTATCAGCGCGTCGCGCCGCCCCCGCGAGTGCCGGCACTTTTACCGGTGGGCCAGGTGGAGTGCGACCGTCAGTGGAGGGCGAGCAGCTGTATCCGCCGCGCGACCGGCGATCAGTAGCGCACGGGCACGGCACGCGCGAGGGCTGCACGAGCGAGGAGCGACGAGCACGGAGCGAGGAGCGAGGAGCGGGAGCGGGAGCGGGGAGCGAGAGCGGAGCGAGCACGGGGAGTGAGCAACGCTCAGGTGTGCCTGTTGTTGAACGGACGCATTGCAAAATACCGAGAGATATCGTGCGGTGCATCGCGAGGCATCGCAGCGAACGAGAACTAGCGACCACGCAGCGTGGGGTCTGTCAGAGTTGATCGCAGTGTTTTGGTGAACTTTGAGGGCCGTCACCATGGTTCGGGGACCGATCCCGAGTCTGCGCACCTGGGAGGTAAGTGCCGACTGCGCGACTGGGGCATAAATTGAGCTGGGTCGAGGCTGAAGCTTTTTTGGTGGGGGTGAAGCGTGGGGGCGGGCTGCAAGAAACCACTCGTACTTAGAATGTATGACATTAACACGCGCAGTGGAAGGGGGGGGGGGATTTCGTCCACCCCTCCTGTTTTTCGCCAATAACTCGCGCCGCAAGCATAATATCAATGTGAAATTTCGGCTACCTGTCCAGAATTGAATTGCGGATCTTCTCGTGCAAAAAGTAAGAAAATCGGTTCACAACTTTTCTAGTAATAGCGGTGTAAAGTCAAACATCCTGCCGCCGCGGCGGCGTGGCGCGGGGCGTAGTACTCGCAACCCTTCCACTGCGCGTGCTAAGTTACTGCTTATTTATACGTGCGCATATGTTTTTTTGCACCCATTCATGCATTTTTTATGTCCGTTACAAAGTCTGTTGACAATGCTGTGAAATGGACAATAAAAACAAACTTCCTTTTAATTCAGCTGATTTTTTGACTTAATTTAATTGTTTATTTAGTTTTTAGAATTTATAAACACGGGTTATACTTTAGTATTTCTGAATTACTTTTAAGCGTATTTTAAAAGAGTCTGTTAGATGACCAATACCATGGCAGCAGCAACAACAAGCAACAACAGTACAATCATTGGATTGGAGTGAGTTAGGCACCTGGAAGACTTTCCGAAAGTGTTTATTGAAATTTAGCTGTAACTTGAAATAATGTATTTGATTTTTTTATATTTTACCTGCTTATAGATGCTGAATACCACATATGCTTTTCATTAGCCGTTTTCACGACGGACTATCTGGCGAATGCACCTAATTCTCACCAAATCTGCACCGGCCGGCGTGAAAACGGCTATTATAAGGCAGCGCGATTAGATGTTCGTTAGTTAAACGTATTCCAAAGACCCTATACCTATACGAGTACACGATTCTTGTTACTTATTTTCGAACTACTCCGCCACCCAGAGGTGCAAAAACCTCTTCAGGTGTCACATACTTTGCCAGTGGCACACGGAATCTGTCACGCAGCTTCCATCAACCAGGTGATGTCAGCTGAAAGTTTACATTGAGATGACTGGATGTTACTTTTCCCTGATCTCTGAAATATTGATCATTTCTGGAATTTTAACATATTTTAGGACAGGTTCCAATGATTAGGCACTCTTATTGAGCACCTTGAGACCTGACATTTATTTCTACTGTTCTTTTCTCAACAATATTCAAACATTGAAACCCTTAAAACACCTGCCTTCGGACTGTGATTATACAAATGCAGTAAGTAGGTGTGCATCAATTATAGTACTTTTATAAGGCTAACTATTATGATAATTCACTTAAGATGAATAAGATTAAGTTGGTTTAGAGGCAGAAATGACACACAGCCTGGTACACAGCACCCTACACAATGGAAAGCATCAAAATGGGTAAGTGCCTATTGTGAGAGTGTTAACTAATAGCTCTGCGTGTGTCCGCTAGGTGGCAGGCCGGTAGCGAGCATCTGACCGGTCACTGCGCCAATAAACAGTACGCGGCTAGACACGAGCGAGTGCGTTTGTGCAGACGGAGCGCGGACGAGTACGAGAGACGGAGCGAACTCACACATGGCGCAGCCCGACGAGAACCCCGGCGGGGGCCCGGCCGCTAGTGACGATGAGAGTGAGCACGGTGCTGTGGTTGCCTTACCAGCGCAGTGGTTAAGTCGATTGACACAACCTGATAAACTCGACCTCTCTGTGGACAGAGGAGCCGCCTTCAAGACGTGGAAAACGCGATGGACCGACTTCGTCACACTTTCTGGCCTGACCGCACAGCCCAAGGCGGTGCAGTTGGCGATGCTGCGATCCTGCCTCTCGGACGACACCGTCCATATCGTCGAGAATATGGGGCTGTCAAGGTCAGACGGCGAGAACGTCAGCAAAATCATCGAGAATCTGGAGCGACACGCTATAGGACAAGTCAGCCAGGTGATGCAAAGGCGAGCATTCAACCTGAGAATCCAACAGGACGGCGAGACATTCGACGACTATGTGACGTGTCTCAGAGACTTGAGCAGGGACTGTGGATATTGTGATCGGTGCAGAGACAGCCTTATTCGCGATCGAATTGTAGTGGGTATCCGTGATGCGGATGTCATCAGGCGTTTGTGTGCCATCCAAAGTCTGACTCTGGACGAGGCGATAAACATTTGTCGGTCAGAGGAGTGTGCGGCGCGCGACGCCCTTCAGATCGCGGACGGCAGCGTTGGCCCGGGCGTGGCGGCTGCGCGGCGTGGCCGGTCGGTGGTGCCGCCCGCGGGCACGGTCGGTCGAGGTCGGCGGCCGGACCGTGACGTCACTGACCGCGTTTGGACTGGGCCGGTGGACCGGCGTCGGGCACAGCCCGCCCCTCCCCGTGCGGCCCGGCCCGCTGCCGACCGGCAGTCACGTGATCGCCCGGGCGAGGCCTGTCGCCGCTGCGGCCGCGGGCGATGCCGGGGAGAGAACAGCTGCCCCGCCATTGACAGCGAGTGTTTTCGCTGCGGTGAATACGGCCATTGGGGCCGTATGTGCGACAGGAGACTGGGGCCGAGAAGGGCCAATGCGGTATCCGTCGGTGAGAGCGCCTGTGAAGACGACTGTACTCAGCTGAATATGGTGACGGTGAACGGTGTTCAGCACAGATCGGCGCCGACGGTTGCAGTGGACGTGTTCGGTACCAGGCGCGGGAAGTTGCGAGCTCTTCCAGACACTGGAGCCGACATCAGCCTGGCCGGCCCTGAGTTTGCAGAGACGTTCGGCCGTGGTCGCATGACACCTTCAACAGTGCGTCCGATGGTGGTCGACGGCCGATCCTGTGACTCCATAGGCAAGGTGGAGGTCACAATCAGGATGGGAGACATCGAAGTCAACGAGCAGGTCCACATCATTCCTGGAGTCAAGCGTCTGATCCTGTCGTGGAAGACGACGCAGCGCCTCGGCATCATTCCAGAGGACTACCCCGAACAGAAGTGGAACATTCCTCAGGACATCACGGCAGCGGTATCGGCGCGGCGGACAATCACACGGCCAGCCGAGCGGCAGACGGCGGCGCTCGGCCCGCCGGTGGAGCGGCAGACGGCGGCGCTCGGCCCGCTATCCGAGCGGCAGACGGCGGCGTTCGGCCCGCCGGTGGAGCGGCAGACGGCGGCGCTCGGCCCGCCGGTGGAGCGGCAGACGGCGGCGCTCGGCCCGCCGGTGGAGCGGCAGACGGCGGCGCTCGGCTCGCCGGTGGAGAGGCAGACGGCGGCGCTCGGCCTGCTATCCGGGCGGCAGACGGCGGCGCTCGGCGCGCCAGCGGAGCAGCGGGCAGCGCGGACCGGCGCCCCAGGGCCAGCGGAGCAGCGGGCGGCGCGGTCCGGAGCACCAGAGCCAGCTGAGCAGCGGGCGGCGCCGGCCAGCGCACCGACGGAGCAGTGGGCGGCATTGCTCCGCGAGTACAACGACGTATTCCCCGAGACGGAGCGAACTCACACACCTATATGCCGCAAACCAAAAACATTGTCAAGTTTCTAACTAGATGCCAGGTATGGTCAAAGCTATGGCCTAGTTTAAAGAAGGTAAGTACATTTTTGATAGGTACTGAAAATTATTAGACAAACTTGGATTATGTTTAACATGTAGGCTCCGGCACAAACAAAAGCAGGTTATTATGCAAACATAACCTGAAGGTTGACGGAGGGGCAGCATTTGAGCTGCCCAACATTATATTAATTCCCCGCCCCCAAGGTTTTGCACACAAAATGTGATGCCAACCTTAATCTAAAATATTTCATTGATATGATTCAAATAAAAATGAAATGCATCCTAAATACATTTTCATCTATTTCAATTTTGACAGCAGGGTAGACAGCTGAAATTGGATTCCCATATACACTTATGCCAAATTTTCTGACTGAGAATTTGTATGCTGACAGTTTTAGCTGAATCTCACCTCAAGGCTCTGTTATGGGCTATTCCTCGTCTTACATCATGCCATCCTGGTCCACATGCTTCAAGACTGATTGAACTATAAATATTACTATCCACAGCATACATCTTGTGCTGGGGGCATACAAACAGCCCGCACATCTTGCCCGCGCAGCCGTAGTAATGCTGTTGGATCCCATACTGCCTCACCTCACCTCCCCAGCCCGGCTAAGACACTCAAAACACACTGTCACAAACTGTCACAGCCGGCGTGACAATCCGCCGGCCCCTCGCCAACTCCACGGCCAGGCAATGGGGATTTACAATGGAGACAGCCGCCGCGTGACAGAATCCGCCGGCTTTTTGCAGCCCCCCCGGTAGAGGTCTGCACCGGCCGGCTGCAGCCGCGGCTGGCTGCAGCCCCACGGCTGTGGGCCGGGGCGGCTGCAAATATCTCCAAGAACACGGCTACGGCTGTGGCCACGGCTGTGAGATTTCAAGCTCAATCTTAAGTACTCCAATATAAAATTTTAAATCCTTAATCTCACATTCTGATAAGCAGTCTAGCCTGTAAAATTCATGCAAAGGATGCCCAGCAACATTGAAAGTGGTGAAGCCTTTGAAAACCTGTAATGGTTTTACCATTTGTTGTAGGGGAGTTTGCACTCTGGTACAGAATACTAATTATAGGTACCAATTGTTCCTTCATCATCAAGAGCTTGACAGTTTCAGAAAATGCAGCATGTTGCATTGTCACATCCCTCTCAAATCAATCTCACCTGGTCATTAGGAGAGCACCTTACAGCTATTGAAGATGAGCGTTCAATAATTCTTTCAGGTAATAGAAAAAGAAATCACGCCTAGGTAAAGGCAGGTAAAGGCTTCATAAAATATTATCTAACATAACTCTTAGATGTATTTCTGGATTTTCGGCAAGTCCAATTACATAATATAAAACTGGCGCTTTATGTTCTAACTGGTGTGTGAGTGACCGCTAACAGAAAATGCTGATCAAATAAGCCAATGGAATTAGATTATAAGTGAACATGAACC